AAAGTCCAAATTTGCGTGCCTCTCAATTTTAATAATATTGACAAATTCCTTTCTGCTGTTTCTTGTTGCTGCAGCCTGCAAGGGGCAAACAGATTTATGTCCTTACAAGTCAAATACGTGCATATTATTCATCCTTTTATATAATAGAATGATCTATTGAGGACCAACACATAATGTCATTAGGATATATGGAGTATATGATAATATTACATCCCTCCATAATCTTATGAAACATCTCGAGTTTCCTTAATTAAGTTAATCTATGGCTACTTCAATATTTGGAGTAATGATATACACCTAAAGACATATTAAAGGCTCTTAGAGAAGGTCAATGAGGCTTATTGAGTTTCATACTGATCACTTCCTTTACCTCGCGCGTGTTCAATTCGGAAGTTGCTCCAAATGCTACGAGGGAGCACCATTACTCGACATCCAGTAATATATAGTTAGCTCCACACTAGATTGATGCATGGCAACATTACTTTAATGTCCCGATATTGTATTTTAGTATTCTTGTGAGCTCTAAATATCCTTATGGATTTATGTACATGTAAGCAGGGGAAAACCTTATGTTAGTAATCCTAATAAGGAAAGATAGGCCTTTTCGTTCACAAATCACAAGCATGCAGAAAATAATTAAGAACTAGCAAAAATAAAAAAGACCAATCATATATCTATTTTCTTAGTCACAATAAAGATATCACTTTCCATTAAACATTATCTTCCTATCCATGTCACTTAAATTGTACCTTGCAAATAACTCAAAAATGTAATGTAACCAACAGGTCGTTTTGAGCAATTGCATTCGGTTTGGCAGTTTGAGGTCACGAGTAACTTCAGACAGTGTATTGTGACTTGCGTGCATCATCGGTTCGGGTTTTTGAGAAGTTCGGAAAGAATTTTTAGAAGTGACTTTCATTTGAGAAGCTTGAAGTTGAAACAATTGACCAAGATTTGACTTTTGAGTACTTGACCTCGTATTGGAGTTTCGATAGTTCCGATAGGCTCAGGTGGTGATTTCGGACTTAGGCACACGTCCGGATTTGGATGTGGAGGTTAGTAGGGTAAATTGAAGCATTTCGGCGAAGATGCAGAAGTTTGAGCAATAATTGACTTTTGTGATATCGGGGTCGGAATGCGATTCCGAGAGTTGAAACCGATCCGTTATGTCATTTTCGACTTATTTGCAAAATTTGGCGTCATTCCAGGTTGATTTGATAGGTTTCGGCACGAGTTTTAGAAGTTAGAAGATTTGGAAGTTCATAAGTTCGATTCTTGGCACGATTTGCATTTTCGACATTGTTTGATGTGATTTGAGACCCCGAGCGAGTCCATGTTAGGTTATATAACTTGTTTGTGTGTTTAGATAGGGTCCCGGGGGCCTCGGATGTGTTCCGGGTGGAATACAGGTCAATTTCTCCTATTTTTGAACTGCTGAACCTGTAATCTAGGTTTCTCTTTCGAGTTCGCGAAGAGTAATCTTGGAGGCAGGAACATTTGTTCTTCGCATTTGCATGCCTCGTCCCACGAAAACGTAAGCCTGCCCCTCTCTTTATCACGTTCGCGTTCAGTCACCGCGTCGCGAAGCACTTCCTAGCAGCCTCGCATTCCTTCTTCGCGTTCGCCTTCATCCTCCCGTGTTCGCGTAGGTTCTCATCCCTTCTTCTCCGCGTTCACGCAGCCTCACCCGCGTTCGCGAAGGGTTTTCTGGACAGTCTTATTCGCATTCGCGATGCATACAGACCTGGGCAGAATATAAGATTTTTAAATCAAGGGTTAGGCCATTTTTATTACATTTTGACTTGTAGAGCTAGATTTTGAGCGATTCTTTGTGGGTTTTTCGAGCAAATCGATTGGGTAAGTATTATTCACCTAGAATTTAATATATTCCATGATTTTATCTTTGCTTTTGTCATTTAATTTGTGTATTGAGTTGAGGAAAATGATGGTTTTTGAAGAAAGTTTTCAAAATGAAAAATTATGATTTGAGAGACAAAATGGTGTTGAAATTTGATAATTTTAGCATAGTTGAACTCATATGTAATGAGGTTTTATAATTTTGTTTGGTTCCGAGGAGTGGGCCCGGGGGAGTTGACTTTTTACAAATTGTATAAGTATCATAGCTTTGTTAATTGAAATTGTTTTCTCTTGCATTGTTTGATGTATATAAGTCTAGATTGAGCGGAGCGTTGATGAATTGGTAAAGGAAAAGCTAAATTGAGTATTGAATTGGCCGAATTGAGGTAAGTATCTTGTCTAACTTTGTGTGGGGTAAACCACCCCTTAGGAATTAGTCAATTGTGCTACCTTGATATGTGAAAGCCGTGTACCCAAGGTGACGAGTGGGTACACACTCTATATGTGATATTGACCTGCTAGATTGTCTAGTCTCTTTCCAAGCCGTTGATTAAATTGTCATAACATGTGGTATCTTATTGTGAGACTACTCTTATATGCTTTATATGATGTTGTTAGCACTTGTTTACATCTTCCTTGTTATTTGGCCCTTATATGCCTTGGTTGTAGTCATTGCCTTCACTATTGCCTTATTACCACTTAATTGTTGAGCTCTTCTATGACTACGTGCCTATATACTACGTGTTCAAATTGTTGTGATTGCATGCGTAGTTATCACGTGCCTTACATGTCTTGTTATTTTGTAAAGGTTGTTGTATTTTTTTGATTTTACGTGGTTTCCTTGTTGCCGTGTACTCATACTTTTAGTTGTAGAAATTCTTGTGAATTGGGTTATTGAATTGTTATTGCTGATTTATATTATTGTACGGGGGATTGGGTTGCACGCCGCAACAGGTGAAATAAGGGAGAATATTTATATTGTGATGTTATTATTGCACGGTGGAATCGGGTTGCACGCCACAACAGGTGAAATAAGGGTGAATTATTATGGTAAAATAATGGTGAATTATGATACTGATATTATATGGTGGAATCGGGTTGCCCGCCGTAACATATTAAGGGTGACTTATAATATTGATATTTTATGGTGGGATCGGGTTGCGCGCCGCAACATACCTTGTAATTTGGTATCCCTTATTTTACTGTATTGGATTTAGTTTCTTCGTGCGAGACTTTGATAATCTGTATTTTTGGTTTTCACTGAGTTTTGAGAATTGAGTTATTGTCCTTGACTTATTGCTTTGCCGTCATTTCTTGAACTCTTTTCCGAATACTATTATTCTGGTGAATTAATTTTCAAAGTGAATTTACTACGTTGAGTCATCACCTCCTGCCCTGCTGAGTTGTTAGTAATACAATGATTTAAAATGGAAGAACCAATATCATGCTACCTTGTGTGACTTTAAGTTAAAACTCGCCATATATTTCAGTATCTACTATTTATAATAATCGTATACTTTATTTCAATTGATTTCCACGGCTTAATCTTCTCAAGCTGTCTGAGATCTTTATTTTACTTAAAAGAAATTGTTATTTGACTTAATAAATTTTATATTAAATGCATTAGCTATTCGATGTTAAATTTGATTTGAAAATATTATTTTCTTCACCCACCTGATTTCTAAAACAAAACTCATCTTTCTCGCTGATTTCCTATTTGGTCTAGAAATCACAAATTTACTTTATGCTATATATAGTGGAATCTCTTGAACATCTTAAGTAGCAATTGACACGGATATTATGTACCGAGTAGCAAGTGGATTCCGCCGTACAAAGTGAGGTGGAAAGATGTGGGCACAAGGTGCCGTGTGTGTTAAAGGGTTTGCAGTTGTGGTTTATGGTATGAGATTACGAGAGATGGAATTATTGGAATCGTGTACTAGAAACAATTTATTTGTTTGGTTGAGTTGACATTGTTTTCCCTATTTGAGCACAATTACACTTATCTGTATCCCCATTTTGTTGTTGTTTAATTACTTGGTTGTTTCCCGTTGCCATTCGTGTTTTTTCCTTATCGTCATTTCTGTTTGTAATTTGATTTATTCCTGTTGTTGGCATTACTTTGATATCCCTATCTTGTTAGCTTTATGTCATATTCTGCTCAGGTTTATATGTTCGGTAGGTGTCTTGGTCTGGCCTCGTCATTACTCTATCGAGGTTAGGCTTGATACTTACTGGATACCACCGTGGTGTACTCATACTACACTTCTGCACATTTTTTTGTACAGAGCCAGGTACTTCAGATCGAGTTGGTTTTGAGATTTACGCTTGGTGTGGCTGGAGACTTCAAGGTACACCTGCTGGGCATTCTCAGTTTCCGAAGTCACCTTCTATTATATTTATTTCCATTGTTTCCTTTTGTTCCAGAATAGTTATGTATTTATTATGTATAATTACTCCTAGAAAAGCTTATGACTTGTACTATCGGTTTTGAGATTATAAATTGTACAGAGATTCCTATTTCGAAATTGTTCGATGTTAGTAGATATTTTCGTTAATTCAGTTACCGCTAGGATTACCTAGTTTTAGAAATTAGATTCCATCACGACTCCTTCGGAATCTTTCGGAGGAATTTTGGGGCATAACATATAAGGACAAAATAATTTCAAGACTATATTTTGTTACATTAAACGTGATTTATTGGTGAAGTACACAAATAACTTTCAAAATAGTCTTGAATTTTTGTTCTTGCATACTCCAAACTTTAAGTTTAATAAGTGTTTCTCTTCCCTTGCCATGTGGGCAATACTTTTCAATTTTATCTTAAAAGTTCTTCCTATGGCATAAGTGGGGGTCAAAAATTAAAGACCATCCCAAAAAGTATTATATTTCTGCAATTTTTTGTTAAAAAAGATGTCACAACTTACAAGAAAAATGATATTGTATAGTTTTTCTGTATGTTATATATAAATTTTATACACTTTTTCGGCTATTGAATATTAATCGTTTCTGGAACGGACTAAAAGTGAAAAAAAGCCCAACTTACAACCATTGATTTGCAAGAAGGAAAAGTTATTTGGGCTGATTGAAAAATGGGCTAGGCATATTAGGCCCAGTCCGTGGTATAAATAAAGAAACGGAATTCCCATCCCTGTTCGCAGAAAGAAAGGGAGATAGTGAAAATGGCGACATGGGGTGCGTTTTGGGGAACAAGGGTAATGGAAATAGTGAAGAAGCATGATTCCGGCGGGCTTGTTTGGAAAAGAATAAAGCTCACTCCTACTCGCAAAGCTAATGCCAAGAAACGTCTTCGCCGTGTTTGGCAGGTCAACTTCCTACTCTTCTTTTCCTTTTATTCTTCTTTAAACTCGGAATCTTTCCTTGTAGAAGTTTAGGGCTTTATACTGATTCACATCGCGTATGCTTTTTTATACTCAGTTGATGACATTATGTAGGAGATCTTTAGTTTAGTTTCTTCGGTTGAGGTAAATAATTTAGGTTATTTTTTAAATAAATGAGGCGGATGGAGTATGTGTTAAGTAGGTTGAACTCATTTAGGATACGGAGCATAGATATATGTGTAAAATTACCAAAATTATAACAAATACTGAATTCTGAATCCATATTTTCAAAAGTGCAATGAGTTTGGACTTACTTGGCAGGGTTACTTGACACTCGTGTGGGTTGTAGCAGCAGCTTGGGTATTAGTGTAGCAAGCTGGACCAAGCACCATTGCCACAAAAAAGAAGAAGAAAGAAAGTCACTTTTTCTAGTCCTAGCAATTTTAGAAAATCTTTTTTTGCTCAAATATATATATATATATAAATGAAGGAGCAAAACAAGTTCCAGTTAATTTTTCGATTGTTTTTTTTTATTTGCACCGGGTGTCCGAGTCTCTAAGAGCCCCGACTAATCCGGGGGTGCACATGCCCTCAGCAAGGAGTTTCCCGCAAGTGCACCACGGTTAATTCAGGTTTTACCCAGTCCGATGGCCCTCAGAAATTGTTTGCACCCAGTGGGTTTCGAACTTGAGACCTTGAAAGGGAGCAAACCCCAAGGCTCAAGTCAATTGCCACCAGGCCACCAATTAATTTTTCGATTGTATCATCTTATTCCAAGGATTTTGTTCCATTGACTTAATAGAGTCGAAATTTACTTTGAAATATCATCTTTAACAATATCATGAGGCCATTAGTTACTTTAATAAAATCAGTCCTATTGATCTTTGGCTGTCCTTTTCTTGTATGATGTTGTGTGGCTCCGGGGAGTGTTGTTGGAGAAGGTTCATTTGCATTCTTTACTTGATCCTTTTAATGGTTTCTTGAGTTTGATTGGCCTTGAGTTGGTTTCCCTATTCATGATAATTTAGGTTGACTATCTTTCAGGGCATTGATGAACTAATGATCTTAAGATGCAAATATTTATGGGCCATTATTCACCGAGTTTCGAACCTTTTGCTACTTGACCTCGGGATTTCTCGGTTATAGAAAACGATCAAATATTCATGTTAATGAGGTTGAAATAGTTGTTAATTCTAGTAATCTGGTTTGGAGAAACAATAACACTTCTCTGCTTGGCTGCAAGATCAAGAGATGCGGAGCATTAACAAGAGAACAATACTCAGAACTTTCATTCAAACAAGTTATGAACCAGAAGAAAGAATTGGGGAACTTGTGTCTTTTATTAATCCAACCAGTTGTATTTATGCAACTGAATCCCAAAAGTTCAGCAACAAACAAAGCATGAAATCCATATCTCCTAAACTAATTTACCTGTACCAACAAACTAGCAACTATCCTTAAAACTAGGAACTACTAAGTTGACTTATTCAAATAGACTAGTGACTCACAGAAAAACAAATACTAAATTAATTTCTGCATTATCTTTAACAAGTTAATAAACTGGCCATTATTCTCATTCAATAGTAACCTTGAGGAATAGAGCGTAAGGACTTTTTTATATTGGATTTAGACGGGTTTAAATGGATCAATATAGATAGTATGGATTCATATAGCTGACCACAGCTAGGGGCGACCTTACAATTGTACATGATGTAGATGCAATGATTGGTCTGATAGGGGAATTGCACATTCTGTAGTTATCTTTTGTAACACTGGCTCAGTGCAAGTTTACCATCTATAATATTTTTCCATTGCTTATCAAAAGAAAGTCTTTATTATGTAGTATATAATATCAAAGACTTTCTAAAAATTTTGCATATTTAATCTTTCTTTCCTTTATGTTGTTTGTGGACCCTTTCTTCTCCTTATTTGTTTGTGAAACTATTCGAATGTATGATCAGTTTAAGAGTATATATATCTATATATATACACATACATACATACTTTTAGGTCATTTTCAATTAACAGATCCTGCTTAAATGGATAGATGACTGTATTGTAAGATTTCCCAAAGAAGAAATTACAAATAGAAAAGCAAAATTGCTTAAATGAGCTACTTAGACAAAGCAGAAGAACATGTATTTATTTTGGCTCAGGTAATGATAGCGACTTATGTTGTTCGAATTCTTCAAAAACTCTCTGCCGCACCCGTGTTGATCTGACACGATTTGACACGATTTGTGTATGGATGTGGAATCCACACTGGATTTCGTGAACTTACCTTGGGTGCTTTGTCTACATCTATTACCAAGAAGTATCGGTTGTTTGGGTATTTGGTTTGGTTTTTGGGTTTATGTCCTATATATAGTTATATAAAATATGAGAGCGCTTTGCTGTTACACGAGATATCTTATGAATAAAAAATTATGTGCTTATAAAAAATTAAATTTTATTTATTTTAGTTCAATTTAGTTTATTGAAATATATACTTATATATGCCATAATATATATTTGTTGACCATATACCAGCACCCATATTTGCACTCGGATCCATATCCCTGAATCCTAAAATTTATGTGATGAAGAATCCTACCTCTATATCTACACCCATATCGGGTACCCATACCCGAGTCCGAGCAACATAGCAGCGACCAAACAAACCCATTTAGCCATTATCTGAGAAAGAGAAGATATACTTAAGAATAATTGGCGTGTCTTGTGGTCTTGATCTTAACTGTACGTAATCCAAGAGAAACCAAACAAACCTATCTTTCAAAAAAGGAGAACAAGGAAATGGGAAACCAGCACAAATGATTTTGCTAAAAGTCCAGTCTGGTAATGGGTTACCTGGAATAAGTCACTGATAGTGGATTAGCTTTTCGGGAATTCACCTTTCATATTTGACATGGTTTGACGGTTTTCGAATGGGATTGTTCAACTTGAGTACATATTTTAATTTATATGCTCATTAGATTTTAGCTCATATGCTTAAAACATGCTCATAGGATTGAAAACATAGTCCTGCTTCTAAGGTCAATATAGTTTGAATAGTTCATTATGTCATCCAGTGATTAATATTTAGTATATAATGTGTATATATTTTTGTCATATATATTCTCTTCATTCATGTAGTTCATATTTCTAAATACTACTATTTTGGTGCTATGAGGAGATTCCATTAGTAAGCAATTGCAATTTGAGTTTCTCAAGCCAAGTCCATTAGGGAAGTAATTTGAGCAACTTATATTGGTGTCTTCAATCATTAGGGTGAGTATTCATCTACCATTTTCCCTTGTTAAAGAGCAGGTCTTTCTCAGTGAGGTGGTACCATCTTGAACCAGTGTTATAGAGGTTAAGAGAACTTACTTTCAACGTTCTTTTTTAAAATCTTTTTGCAGTTCATTTTGTCTCATCCAACAAAATTTTAAACGATAAACGATAAACGCCAACTTTTGTATTGCATTATCTCAAGTCATACATTATGCAGTTTAGCAACATCTCTATCAGCATGATGTTATACACCTTTTGGCGTATGGACCTGTGAAAGCTAGTGTTGTACACAAGCATGTTGATAAATTCATTTGGTCTGGCTCATCCTTCAAATTAACCTCTTTGAACTAAAATGAAAACACTTTCTTAGCTTGATGTAGTCTGTTCCCTTTTCTCTCAGCCAAAAGAATGTAACTGTAATGGAATTCCAAGTCCCTATGACTTGTGATATTGGGATTTGTTTACCTGTATAAGTTGCTGCTCACAATGATCTAATTTAATTGGAATATGATTTGTTTTGTTTTTTATGTGGACTTGGAAGAACTCATAAAACTTCATTTTTCCCCAATGATCTGTGTTTTGAATTAGATTTCATAAGGAATTATAGCCCCATCTTTTAAAAAATGTCAGGCATACAGAGGTTTTAATATTTTTTTCTGCAGAATGAAGCTGTCTTGAGAGCATGTTCTGAACCACCTCCATCCGAAACTACAGAGGTAGATGCTGGACAAATAAGTAATGTGCAATTAAAAACCAGTAAGAGTTAGCTCAGAAAGAAGTGACCGAGTATGAAGAGGTAAAATGAACTGTGGGTGACAGAGCTGCTTGCAAGGTCTTTATTACACTTGGTCACCTACATTAGTGTATTACCCCTGAATTTTGCTTAACCTGTTAGCCTACTTTGTTAGTATGAAGTGAACTGATTTGGATGTCTCACTTTTACATGGGTTACTCTAGATCAAAGTATACTTTTCTTAGCTTAGCTGTACTGAGTATTTAAATCTGTGACAAATTTAATCAAATGCAATCTATTGTGTTTCTGTTTGTGTTTGATCGCAAGCTTGTTTGATGATGACCTGGAGCGCATTCTAGCATTTCCGTCATTGTTTTGCTAGGGTATTTTGGTCCCTCTGCAGTAGCAAATGTTGGCCATTTAGTTTGAAATGGATGTTGAAATTTGGTTTTGGTGTCATGGACTCGTAGGGAATCAATCTTATGAGTCTAAGCCATTAAATAGGTAAGATACTGGATCTTCCGTTTGGATAGTGTGGTCCATCACGATATTAGAGAAATCCAACTAGGAAAAGTTCATGGCTGTCAAATCCGTTTCAGTTTCCTTCTAAACGAAAATTAAAAGGGTGGTTTAACATATTTGATACTGGAATGGGCTTAACGTTTACCTTAGTGTTACTTCACAAAGAGCCTTGCATCTTTCTAAATTTTAACCATTGTTTAAAGGTATTCGGGCAAGTTTTGAGCACCTCGACTAATTATCGGACATCCTGTCTAGTTCACAAACATATATAGGTTCGACAAGGTATTCATGGTCACCCCTGGTGTAGTAGTTGAAATTCAGTTTTTCCAAGAATTTTTAGCTTGATGTCTTTGAATCAGGCGCATGCTTCCTCCTCTTATTGCATTTTCATGTACAATTCTTTCCTTTCTCACCCAGGTGGTTTCGTTCAAGATTCAGTTATGGTATTTGCCTTGTGTGCATCTCATTTGGAAAAACTGGAACGGTGGCTTAGGTGTAGAAACAGGAAAGTATTGGACATGACATTACATCACAGATTTTACTACCCACATGCAAAAAGCCTGTCTTTGTGATCAGCAATAGATGCTCCCTAGTATCGAGGTAGCCTTTCAGATGGGCGAGAGACCACGGAGTTGAATTGGTCTTTAACATTGTCTTGTGCTCTCTCTTTTTACTACACTAGTATAAACCAATCCAGTTTTGACCCTCAATCTTAAAGTGTATAGCCTGTTTGGCCAAGCTTGTTTGGCCAAGCTTATAATCTCAGCTTATTTTGAGAATTGTTTTTCGCAAAAGGCGAGAACCTGTTTGTATTTGACTACTTAGTTTGAAAAGTAATTTTGAGTAGTAACTAATATTTGCTTAAGCTTTTAATAGCCTATTTGGCCAAGCTTCTCCAAATCCAAAACTACTTTTTTTTCCTCAAAAATAAATGTTTTTTTTTTCAAAGTTAAATTGTTTGGTCAAGCTTTTAGAAGGAAAAAAAATATTTTTTGAGGAGAATCAAAAGCAGCTTTGAAGGAGTAGGAAAAAGTAATTTTTCCTCAAAAACGCTTTTGAGAAAAATACATTTAAAAATACCTTTTAAAAGCTTGGTCAAACACTAGTTACTCCTCAAAAATCTTTTTCAAATTAATTAGTCAAACACAAACTGGTTCTCATAAAATGTACTTTTGAGAAAAACACTTTTAGAACAAAACACTTATTAAAATAAACTGATTTTTGAAACTTTGTCAAAGTGTATTTTTCTCAAAAGTGCTTTTGAAGATAAGTTACTTTTTTGTGCTTCTCAAAAACTACTTTACATCAAAAGTACTTTTTTTGTTCCGAAAACTTGCCCAAACATCTTAATTTTAGAAAAAAAAATATTTTTGCCTAAAAGAAGCTTGCTCAAACGTACTATTAATCAGACAATACTAAAATGTACAATTTGATAAATTCTTTTCAGTATCTTGGTCACATATGCACGAGGCGTAAGGCCCTTATACTCTGTTCAATGGGCAAAAGACACAAGTTGATCTTTTATGAAGTATGTGCCCAGGTTAACTTGCATACGTCGATTATTTCTATCTATAGGTACCAGGTAATTGTACCTACTCAGGCTTTAGTAAATGGGATGAAATCTTTTAACATTTTGGTCTCTGTTTGTACTAATTAACCGAAATAAATCAAATAAACACCAATAATTTGTACAGCTTTTTGAAGTGGTTGGTTTGGAACTAGTCAATGTTCCAAAATTACCTTTCCATGTCGAAATACTAAAATACCCTTGTACACCTAGGACTGGGAATAGATACCTTTCTTCGTCTATAAGAATTGTCCTAACCAAATGAGGCCATAAAAGCTGTGTTCATTTTTGTGGTCTACTCTGACGGCGTGCCTACGCTATTGACGATGTAAAATCCCCAGTCAGCAATCTACACAACCAATCAAATCCTATACTATCCTATCCTAAAAGAAAAAATCACTTGCATGTGCAAGTATAGTGGGATGGTTGAAATTCTTTTAGGTCAAGAGATCTTGAGTTTGAGCTCTAAGAATAAATTTTTTCTTTATATGAAACGCTTATCTCTTTAATAGTTTACTCGATACAAATCCAGGTTAGTTGGGTCAGTGAGTTCCGGACCGTAACCAAATTCTATGCTACGCCCTTCCACACACCCTTTATGAAGTACTTAAAGCCATGACAATGAAATATCAATTATACAAATATTCTAAGACTCCCACCCTCTATGAAATGCGTAAAGCCATGATAGTGAAATGTCAATTATTATACATTATATGTATATATAAGGTGACGTGAAGAACTTCAACAGCCTTAGCTGATTCTAAACCACTGTCACAAGGAACTCTGGTCGGCAATTTTTTATATCTAGATTTTGCTTCTGAAAGTTAGTGCTTTGTTTTATTCCCCCTTTTTTGTTTTTCCAAAAAGAAAAATTGACTATCCTCTATTGCTGTTAAGTTTGCTTAATAATTCATAATAATCACATATGTTTTTCCTGTCAAGTTTTCACTGTGAGCCGCCCATCTGCCACTTAACGCCCACTTGGCAATTCTTGATAGGGATTGTGCCCCACTCTTTATAACCTTTTTCTGAAATATGAGATTATGTCACATTCAATTAAATCACTCCTTAAATAAATCAAAACTTGTTCTTACTGCTTAGCTTGCATAAAGACATTAATCAAATGATTAAAAGAAGTGGTCAGTGAGTATCAATCTATAAGTTTGCTTGCTTTTGGCTTTGGCACACAATTATCTACCATCGTGTAATCATAGGATGGTATAGAATAGAGACGAAATCAGAATTTTAAATAGATGAATATGGAGTACTATGTTTGTAATTTGGAAACGGATAGAAGTCAGTTGCAGCCAGGTTGGACTTTGTTCGCATGTTGGACACGTGTACTGAGCGTGCATGTTTCTTCCATTTGAAGAAGAAGAATAAGAGGAAGGACTTAATAGCAATTTGGGCAAACAACAATAGATGTTGTATAGTTTTCTTGCTTAATAAAGTAAAACTTTCAATGTAGTTGGAAGACAGTTGGAGAATCTCTTTACTAAGTCCGCTCTGGCTTTCCATATAATATACTATTAATGATTAAGAAATGGTTATTTTTAGTATAAGAGTGTTAGGTAATGTCACTAACAATTATGGGAGAAGCAGATAGAGATTAATTTATTTGTTATACAAGGCAATGCCAAGAATCTGGAGAATGGCATGGCCCCATAGAGCAGAGTTTTTCTTCTTCATTTACCAATTAGGTGTAATGACTTGAAAAAAATGAAGCAAGAACCTTTAGGATTTTGAATCAATTGGACCACTTTCTTTCTTTGTAGTATGAAATTTCACTTTCTCCACTTTCACCTACCTGTCCTGTAAATTCAATACTTCTGTTAACTTTGTCCCTCCACAAATTAATTTCCTTTTGTTTGTGTCTTTGCTAGTAAATTAGTAGCACCAATGTCACCAACCTATTTGAAGTGTGCCATGGAATGTCTTTTTGGACTAGATGCTTTTCTTCTTCAAAGTTCCTCACCAACTAAGTCGTTTTTGCAATTGAAAAGTGGAAACCCTTTTTTCTGCCCTCTATCACTGACTCTATGCACCTCCTTTAAGATATGAGTAGTAGTAACGAGTCTTATACGTGTTAGAAAAAAGTAATTTTGACATTTTGAATATTTTTCGGCGTGTGAAATGGGAGTCGAAATACATAAAGCTATGTTTGGAAAGCCACCCGTTAAGTAGAATTAATGTAATTACTAGGGTAGTAATTACACAATTGTTTGTCATAATATAAGTATAGATGATATTAAATTTGGTATATAAGATGCATATTTTTCCTTGAATATATATTAATTAGTAATCTTATATTTATAACTAATATTATAAAAATAATATATATATCCAAACTAATAATATTTAGCTTAATTAATTATAAAAACTAAAAATATATGTTTTGTAAGAATATCAGGGAATGAATGTTTGATAAAATAAATTAATATTTATAAACATAATGTCATAACATTATTCATTTGTTTGACAAAATTAATATATTAATTCTAATTAAAAAATAAATAGCATGCAATGTGAAATAACAAGCTAATATTACTAAAATAAGTAAATTAGAACCATAAATATAACACAATTTTAAGATAAAAAAAATTGGTTTAACATATGTCAAATTCCAACATAATAGAACAAGTTCCAATACAACTTAAGATTAGGAAACATAATAAGTTTATAACCTCATTCAACAGTAAAATTCACTTTAATGACAACACTCATTATATGCCAAGTTTTTTAGTGACTCGTTATTTCTAATATAAGGAAGTGTAGTTTCAAAAACTAGAATAATAATGCAGTTACGCTAAATGAAGAAAATAAAATATAAGAGCAATTACATGATTTCACAAGAAGTAAAGGTAGAGAAATAAAGATAATAATATAGAAAGAAAAATATATTTTAAAATTAAAAAAGAAATTTAAAAGTAACACTAAAATAAAAAAATTAAAATAATAGAAATAAAAAGTTATAAAGAAAATAAATTAAAAATAAAACAAAACGATGGAAATTACAAAGTAACCTTGTTATTACATATCGTAATTACTACATATTCTCACTTTTCCCTTGAGAATTGGAGAGTGTAATTACAAGTCTCCAATTACACTCAATTTCATGCTAATCAAGTAATTATTTGGACAAACAAACATGTCAAACTATATAATTACACGCAAATTCAATTCCTAGGTGGCTTTTCAAACAAGCTCTAAGAGCACGATTGGATTAGCTGATAAGCATTAGGTGCTGAAAGCAATTTTAAGTGCTGAAACTGATTTAATAAATACATAGTTACGTGTTTGGATACAAATGCTGAAATTGATAATAAGTTGTTGTAGTATTTGATAAAAAAAGTGCCGATAAGCTCTTTTCTGTTAAAATGACTTAAATAACCTTATAACTGTTTACACTTATAAGGGCGCAATTTTTTCATAATTTTAGATTCTAGATCGATTCAAATACAAAATATTCTATTTGTCATTTTATTTTAAATACAACTGTGCTTAGATAATATAAAATTTTATGATAAATATTCTTTTTATGATAAGCATATAATCATAAGTTATAATAATTAATAAATTGACAAAAATTTCTCAGTAAAAAATAAACCTAAATAGAAAAAATATTTGAAAAGAAACAAGCATTGTCTTCGTCACCACAACACTTAGAAAGCAATACACCAAAAATTTAATATGTCTTCATTATTACATACAGTTCAAAGATTAATACACAATCACATAGATACAAATATGCAAAGGAGTAGAGAATTTGCTTATCTTAAATAGTCAATGAGAATAACAGACTTGAAGAGGGTGGGGGGTTTGGGGGAGGGGGGAGTTGAAATAATACTTGAGGTAGTGAGTATCGATGTAAGAGTTTTGTTACAAAAAAATAAATATTTTAAGAATAAAATAGTAAAAAATTTGGTCAAACTTAAAGTGCTTATAAGCTAAAAATTCATAAGTTGGGGATGACCAGCTTATGACTTTTCGCTTATTTTTGACTTATAAGAACTTTTAACTTTACCAAACGCGTAGATAAGCTGAAAAATGCTTATAAGCTAGTTTGACCAGCTTATAAGCAAGAGCGGCTCTAGGGTAAGGCAAGTGAAGCCCTTGCCTTAGGCCCCCAAATAATTAAGGCCC